CATGATTATACTATATGATAAATTTTCAAGTGGTGATGGACTTCGACGCTGTCGCTCTTTTTTCCTATTATAAACCATAATTTCATGTTGCAAAAAATCTTCAATATTTAGGTCTATACCACATGCTTCTAATTCTGTCAGTGGATTGCGCTTTCTTGTAGTTAAGCGTTTCTACGATTCTTCACCGATTCAAATTGGCGTAATGCCGTTGATATACTTAATAAAATTTCGCAAGTCGAAATATAATATCTTTTATAATTTATTGTATACCTCTGATGTATGGTACAAAAACTACTCGTTGTATTCGCAATAGGCAAGCTTTACCTTATGGGGGCATGCCTTCGTCTGCATTAAATAGGAAAATGGAAGAAACTGATCCACTCCTTATTGATGCCATCGCCCAAGTGGATGCATTCCATGATCAAGAAGATTATTATACTGACTATGTATGAAAGCAGATCGTTGATCGGAGGTTAGAAGAACCCTGGTTAGAGAGTGATATTCCTAGTAGAAGTGATGCACAATCTCGATCTATTTTAAACGTACGTTATAAGGGAGTGCGTGGATGTATTACAGAACCTGTGAGGCATCCTGAATTATCATTAGGATTTTTGGGAAATGATCCCAGAGGGAAACAGATTGGGCCTGATATTAATAAAATTTCGAAGCAAATACAGCAACGTAAGACTGATTTTACCATAGGAATGGGTACTAATGCCGATACACAGGTCCCCGAAAGGCCATGGTCAGAGCAATCTATAAAAATTGGTCGAGATAAACTACACGGAAGACTTAAGGATAATACCCATGTTTTTTCTACACAAAGAGAAGGGAAAATTAATGAAGTAGCCCCACCCAGTGAAACTAATTATGCAAGGCATACGATAATACAAAATCCTGAAGAGTGACAAAAAATACTTTCCGGTGGAGATTATCGCCCATATAATGAATTAATTCGTAAGTATACTAATTCTGGCAATAATGCGCCCTCTTATGTGCCATGGCGTCATGTTATGGGGGGCACTGAATTGCCTGTACAAAAATATGGCAAGGTGCCCGATTCGTATACTACTCCTTTGAAAGATAGGAATATTATGTTACAGAAGGCGGATCAATCGTGGAATCTCCAGCAATATGGTAATACAACTGGTTTACATACCACCCCCTCAAAAGACAAAAACATAATGTTGCAGAAGGCAGATCAATCGTGGAATCTCCAGCAATATGGCAATACAACTGGTTTACATACCACCTCCTCAAAAGACAGAAACATAATGTTGCAGAAGTCTGATCAATCGTGGAATCTCCAGCAAGATGCTAGTGGGTCGAGACACGTTTTATTCGATATGTATATGGTTTTGGCCACTAAGAAAATGTTTCAAGCTGAAACTGAGTTCGGTCAAAATAAAAATTCTCGATTAACTAAACCGGGAGGAGCTTCACTCATGCCTATATCAGCTATACACTCTAAAGAGCAAAAGGGAGATCAACGATTAGTTTTGCCATCCGGTTTTGAAGAATCTATTTCTAACAATAGCAGAGAACTTATCCCTTCTTCGAATCCTTATCCAATAAGTGGAATACAGCGTGAAGAGCAACAAAGACACCTATCGCTACAAGACCTAACTTCCCATGCTGAAACATTCCGGAGACCAATCCTTATTTCAGATCCCTATCCAATGAGCGAAATGCAACGTGAAGAGCAGGAGAGACATTTAACATTGCAGGATATAACATCTCACACTGAAGCATTTCGAAGACCAATTCCCACTTCAGACTCCTATCCAATAAGCGAGATGCAACGTGAAGAACAGGAAAGACATTTATTATTGCAGGATGTAACATCCCATACTGGAATATTTCGAAGACCAATTCCCACTTCAGACTCCTATCCAATAAGCGAGATGCAACGTGAAGAGCAGGAAAGACATTTATTATTGCAGGATATAACATCCCATACCGGAACGTTTCGGAGACCAATTCTACCAGACGATCTGGAATTTCTTTATTGACAACAGCAAGAAGAACAAAATCGAGACGTAGTTTCTTCTTCACAAGAATCGCATCTGACTAAAGGGGTATTACCAGCTATCTATCCAGAAAAAGCGGTACAGGGTAGTCTAATTACTAATACATTTCCTAACGCACATTTAGCAAATATCGCCGGGGTAATTCGATCACTTCGAACTGGAGATGATATGCGACATACATCAGGGCTAAGTTTCTTTGATTCAATCAGACATCTTGCTACTTCAGAAAGATCCGCTCCTTCGCAAAAAAACCCAACTTTCTTACATAAACAAGAATTCATACGACACTTAAATCAGACGTTACCTAAATCCGCTGGAGCTGATCGATACAATATCCACGTTTATAGTTCTGCCCCTCCACAGATTTCAACAGAAAGATCGAACCCAGATACTCTTTGGCAACATACTTATGAAAATTCACCTATATTTGGGCCACCTCTTCCTGAATGGCAAAGTCATATCGATGATACAACGGTTTTGGGAAATTCAACAGAAACTGTCTTCGGATCTAATGAATCTGGAGTTCATGGCACCGCACCTACTGGACCTAAAACTTTACGCGCGCATCAAGAAAGCGATTCTATGAACTTGCATGATGGATTGGTTAATACTTTTTAGCCGTGCTTGCCTCGTTAAAAAAGATAAGTTAATTATACATTTTATTTATTGTTAAACTATAATTTGATCTGATACATGTTGTACGTTTAGAATTGCATAAATTTAACAAAAAAATGTTACCAGCCCTCAGGGATAACGAAATAAATAGATATATATATGAATAAGTTATATAATTAATAAATAGATTAAATCGAATAAATAGATGTGTGTTATAATAAATTAAGCTATATATTGTTAACTTGACGCATCTCTTCCCGAACCACCCATAATAATTGGTAATGCAAAGCAAGTTCTGAAGCACAGAGTCCATCGGGTCTGTAGAAAATTTTTAACCATTTCCTCTGTATAATTGTACATGCTCTGATCTTTTTACCAGCTTCTCTTGCACGTTCGATTTTTCTGATAGCGTTTTGCATCCACAATTTATATCGATGTAATGCATACATATCATCAAAATTATATGCGGAATTGGATTTTTGCTTGATTTTCAAATATTCATCGTGATTTACACCACAGTATTTATTACCGGAACATGAAAATTTCCAATGTCTCTCCATTCCTATATGATTATAATTACCTATATTTGCAGTCCGTTCTCCAGTATATATTAACTGGTCACAAGAGAAGCAAATTGCTAATTCGATTGCAGGAGTGTATATACTTAGAGTAGGGACTAGTACCAATTTTCTAGCTTCAAGATATTTTTTGCTTTCAGTAGGCAAAAGATCATTCTTTCTGAAGTACTGTAAGCGAGGCCAAATCCGATCCATCCACTCACTGGGAGTTTCATTATCACAAACTTGTGTCATTTTACAATATTCATACCATTCATTATCGGTACAATTGGTTCCACGTAAATCGCTTACATTAACCATTTTATATGACTTATTTGTAGTGATTATGGAATTTATATGTAATTTATATCGTATTTAGGGGATTTAGACCTATTAGATTTAATATCTTATATACTCTAGAATATGCGATTCAATTTTAGTGCGATTTGATTTTGAAACTATTTCTTCAAGAATATTGTATTTTGCAAGGAATAGATGTCGATAACGAATCATTATTTTCTATTTGTCGATATGCCTCAAAGAGACATCCCTGAAGGGCCAGATTTTATAGGTTTCGATTCCTATAAACAAGATACATATGAAATTAACAAATGATAGCTATGGTAGATCATGAAAGGAGATTCTATTCAGACATATAGTTTATAATAACTTGTATAACTTGGCATTTTCGCTAAAATAATTAA